TTTAATTCCAGTGTCATATTGTCTAGGAATTCCGCAGCTGTATGAGGGCTACTGTATTGTTTTAAGAATGGTACAAGTGGAGAAATCACACCTACTCATGCTTTCCTCTCTCCTTCCACCCCCACTATCCCCACACTTCATTAGGTACCCATTATAATTAGTTCGTTTAGGATGCTATTAGATGGATTTTGGATTCATGTAAGGAATTGTTTTGTAGGATCATCTTACCTCTTTCTTTTTAGTTTCTAAGTGGAGTCATCAATTTGTCAACTTTCTAAAGCAGCAATTACCATAATATCAAGAAGCTGTCCTTTTAATAGCTCATTGGATATTGATAGGTATCAGAGAGCTTTGAAAAGAAGACCATTAGTTCTGTCACACAAAAAGAATGGGGAAGTACAAAGATATGCCATGTAACTGATTACAGTATAGAAGAGCAGTGAATTCAACTGGATTGTGGATATTGATTGTCAACATTTATTTTCTTTTCAAATAGGTCAAGCATTTTTTCATCTGGCAAAATAGGTGACTCCTACTGAAATATCAAATTGCAGTATACTCACCTTGATGTCCAACAGCCTGTGTTTTAAGAAACATAAACAGCCTAAAATTATTGAATTCAGCAATGTGCTTAACATGAAAAAAAATCTTATCATTTGAATCTTGAGTCTGTTTTTTCTATTTGCTGTTGTCTTGCCCTTGTGAGACAGTATAGGATTTTATTATGCTGTGACTCATTCAAGGAATGTAGAAGTAGTATTGTCCTCTTTTTGCATATTCTTATGGTATCATGGATGAAGCAGCACAGTGCCTCCTCAGCAGGTTTGCTGATGACACAAAGCTGGGAGGAGTGGCCGATAGCCGAGAGGGATGTGCAGCCCTTCAGAAGGACCTTGGCAGGGTGGAGAGGTGGGCAGAGAGGAACAGTCTGAAATTCAACAAAGGAAGGAATAACCCCATGCAGCTCTACAGGTTGGTGGCTGACCTGCTGTAAAGCAGCTTTGCAGAGAAGGACCTGGGTCTCCTGGTGGACAGCAAGCTGTCCATGAGCCAACAGTGTGCCCCTGTGGCCAAGAAGGCCAATGATATTCTGGGGTGTATTAGGAAGAGCATTGGCAGCAGGTCAAGGGAAGTGATCCTGCCCTTCTACTCAGCCCTGGTGAAGCGACGTCTGGAGTGCTGTGTTCAGTTCTGGGCTCCTCAGTACTAGAGAGTCTTGGAGCTCCTAGACCAGGTCCAGTGGAGGGCTACAAAGATGATTCAGGCACTGGAACATCTCTCTTATGAGGAAAGGCTGAGGGAGCTGGGCCTGTTCAGTCTCAAGAAGAGATGACTGAGAGGTGAATCTCATCAATGTAATACAAGTGTCTGAAGGGATGGTGTCAGGAGGATGGAGCCGGGGCTCTTCCTGGTGATGCCAAGCAATAGCACAAGAGGTGACAGGCAGAAACTGTGGCACAGGAAGTTCCACCTGAATATGAAGAACTTTTTTACTGTGCACTGGAACAGTTTGCCTAGAGAGGTTTTGGATTCTCCTGCACTGGAGATATTCAAGAACCATTTAGACACAATTCTGTGCAATGTGCTTTGGGATGACCCTGCTTGAGCAGAGAGGTTGGGGTCCCTTCCTACTTGATGCATTCTGTGAATCTGTGAATCATATTCTAAATCATACTGGGGGTGTGACTGTGATTCATGCACCCACAAGCTTGTTTGTAATGATAGACCTGGTATAATGCTGCCACACCAATCCTGTAGAGTTTATTTAGAATGTCTTTGGTCCTGAAGTCCTTCACAGTTTTCTTGGAACAAGTCCTATGGAATGCTTTTTGCGGTCAAAGAAAATTGAAATATTTACCTGGAGGCTGTTTGTCTTTGTAGCTCTTAAACCTCCAACATGCAGCTGGTTAATGTAACTGAAACAATGGCCTCTGAGCAGGAGATCACACTAGAAACAGAATGTGTATGGAAAAAAATGTTGGCTACCAGGTATCAAGTTTTGACTCCCATTAAAACAGTCAGTAGCTGAAATATGTTTTGGTTAATAGCTGAAGTAGTTAATGAAGTGTTAGTAAGATAGTAGTTTTTAGGTAACTCTTCTAGACCTATGCTTCTTTCTAATCTATGCTTCACTCTCCTTAAGATTTTTTAAGTGCTTTTGTTTTACTGTGGCGGTATCTTATGAATAATATTACTATTGAAGAAGAAATTGGAATCATCCAAGTAACAGAATTCTTTTGGCAAGAAATAGTGTTTGTGACTTTTTTGTTGCTTGAGTCACATGAGAATCTGTTCTAATATGAATCTATATGTAAGAAATACATAAATAAGTTGAAAATTGAATTTGAAAATGAGGTCCAGATATGTCCCACATTTAATTCACCCATCCATTCAGTACCCCAGCCATTTCCTTCTGCAAAGGGAAATAATATGAAATAGATTTTCTGAATACATTGAAAAGATTGCATGTTCTTCATGAGGCAGTGGACCACTTAAATTTGTGTAAATTTTAAAATAAGATGAGGATAATTTCAGTTGTTCATGTGTGGTTTGGATTTATGGAAGCTCAGAATGGGAGCATATTGTAAAATCTTGAAAATTCTGATGGGATAACAGAAGCAGCTCCTACTTCTAGAGGTGGTTTTTGTAGGAATGCAATATAAACAGAGAAGGTTGGAGTAATTTTCATTTTCATTAAGCATAAGTAAACTACCAACATGGCTGCAGAGAAGAGTACCTCACTTCTGGTTCCCGCAATTCTGTGCATATCCTTATAAGCTTGAATATGTTCTTGTAGTAAACGTGGATGTATGTAATGAAGGAGGACAGGCAAATTTTATTGCAAAGGAAAGTTATGTGATTTTTGAAATCATCCTTTTTTTGCATAGTTATTTCATTTGCAATTTGTTTTCTCACTATTTGAATATCTTTATGATAATCATACAAAGTTATTTGCTTCTGTTTGACTGTCATCTTTAGAAGAGCCTGTTTGACAAGGTAGCCTTTTAAAGAATTGGCAACTATAGCATTAGAAGCCAGGTATACAACTATAAAGGATTCATAGAAGTAATTTTCAAAATTATGTTTACAGCTTCTAAATTCTGTAGTTTGTTGCCTTGAGGAGTTTTGTGTTCTATGGAACTACCTCCTTAGGTAAGAAACATTATGAATTTACATTGAGCTTTCCATCATAAATAAACCACTGTAGGGGTAATATAAAGATATAAAGTAATTGAGGGTTGGGGGGAAATCATTTTGAGAAGTATGAACAAATGACTTAAGGTCCAAATATATTAGATAACTGTGAGAGTCATAAAATACAAAATTCAGATAGGGCAGATATGGGGGTTCTGCTTGGCTTCAAAGGTTAATTCAAAGCTTAGTGTAAAGCAGCTGCAGCAAGTAAGAATGTAGAGTGAAAAGAACATTTTTTTTTAAGCGATAAGTTATTTCTTTCCCCAAGGTTTTACTTCAATACATTTTTATGATTCCTGGGCTTTGCAAAATTGAATTGCATTTTTCATATTCTTTTCATGTCTAAATAAATCCAAGGTAAGATAACCCTTATGTAAATGGCGGTTATATTGTATTAAGAGCTACAAGCCATTTCTTCAGAGCAGAATCTGTACTCAGGATTCATAAGAGCCTGTAGAAGGATGATGGGACTCTTGGGATGGTCATTTAAAAGAACAGATACAAGCATTATTTTTGTAAATTGCTATCAAGGCATTACAGTTAGGTGGTGCAGGAGGAAAGCCTAAAGTTGAAGTCTGCCATAACTACTGTATTTTCTTTTTAAAAATTAAAAAAGGAAGAGGAAATATTCTTGCATGCATTTCCCTTTGGTGGGTTAACCTTGGCTAAGAACCAGCTCTCTACCTAGCCAGTAGGATGACAGGAGAAAATAAGAAGTAAAAGCTTGTGAGTTAAAATAAAGACAGGGAAATTGCCTACCAGTTACTGTCCTGGGTGAAACAGACTTAACTTGGGGAAAATTAGTTTAATTTATTGGCAATTAAAATAGTTTGGAGTAGTAAAAAACTAAAAGACAGACTTTAAAACCACACCTTTCCTCCTCCTTTTCCTGGGCCCAGCCTCACTCCTTCACTCCAGACTCCTCTCCCCACCCCCTGAGCAGTGCAGGGGAGACAGGAAATGTGAGGTTGTGGTCAGTCCATTTTGGATCCTCTCTGTCCTTTCTTCCTCATCACTCTTTTCACCTGCTCCAGCGTGGGCTCTTCCCACTGGCTGCAGTCCTTCAGTAAAAAAACCTGCTGTATTGTGGGTTTTCCATGGGCCACAGTCCCTCCAGGGCATATTCCCCTGCCCTGGTGTGGGTCCTCCACAGGCTGCAGTGGATATTGGCTCTCATATGCATCTCACCATGGGCGGCAGGGGAGTATCTGCTCTGGAGTGTGGACCACCTCCTCCTCTGACCTTTGTGTTCCCTCTGCTGCTCTTTTGCCGGTGTGGCATTGTTTGCTCTTTCTTAGCTCTGTTTTCGCCAAGGTGCCACCCTTTTGACTGAAGGGCTCAGCCATGTCCTGCTGTGGTTCTTTTGGAGCCAGATTGAACCACCTGTGTCTGGTTCTGGACAACCCCGGCCTCTCCTTACCAAGGCCACTCCTGCAGCCCCCCCCCCGCTGCCAACACCTTTACATGGACATCCAGTACAATCCTGTTCAATTAAAATATGTTTTAAGATAGTGAAGGAAGCTTGCAGTTTCATATGCACACGATACCACCAAACCCCTACTTTCGTTAAAAGACTTACAAAAATACATGAGCTAGGATTCAGTTGGCTATGAGTTTCTTGGAGGCTAGTTTTGGTTACTAGACAGTCTGGGATGTCATGAATGAACCATGGGTGTGGGCTTTTCAGCAAAGCTGCCCTTTTAATTAGGACGATGTTGTGAGTACAATATGCAGTCAGGGATAATGGTCTGTCTTATCTAAGCAATATGATTGCAAATGTTTTCATTGCATTTTCCACCATTTAGATTGCAAGGGGATAATTTGGCAGAAGGGCCAGAAGATGTCTCCATGGTATCTCAGGCATCTGAACCAGCAGTGTCAGACTCTGATGGTAAGTCATATAAATATTTGCTGCTCATAAAAAAACCCTCAAACACCAACATCTTGAATTTACGAGTAGAGGTTATGTCTGTAAAAGTTTAAACACTTTCAGAGAGTGTTCCTGGTATTTGAACTCAATCATTTACACTTGAAATCTGTTTGAAGAGCCACTAACGTGATTTTTGTCATGGGCAATTAGCACTCCAGAATAATTCTTGGGCATATTTTGAGAGGTGCCCTGGGCCAGAATTTGTTCTTAGTAGGCAGTCCGTATGTTAGCATACTATTTTGGATGTAAAACAACTTAATAGCATAGACATGGGCTGTTCATTGCCAGTTGGCTTCTATGCCAAAGAATGGTCTTTGAAATATTTAGTATAATACCACACATGCACCCACATGACTCAATACACAGCAAAAATAAAGCATGTATACAGTAGTTCTGAAGAACGTTTTTTCTCCTCATAGAAACATCCTATGTTGCACTAATCTGCAGTCAGGACACTCAAGCATTTCAATTTCTGCTCAGGATTTGGAACAGAATAACACCTGAAATGCTGGAAAAGGCAATTCCTAAGAGAATTTCCAGAGAATGCCCAGCTTTCCTACAAAAGATAAAGTTAATGAAGGTTATCTTAGCTGTCACTGGAACAGAGAGAGAAAGGCATAGAGGTTTGGACAGAGAATCTGCAAAGATAAATCTTTCAGTCCATTCCCTTACTTGTGGGCAGAACCAACTGAGTCTATGAATTGTAGGGCTTGATTTCAGTATAGTCTCCAGCAGCCACAGACAAGTCAGCTATGTTGATCAATTAACGCAAAAAAATGAAAATCAGAATTAACTTTTTATTTTAGTTATCCTACTGTCTGCTATTTAGTGCTACTATGTGTGCTATTAGGTATTAGGGCAACCTGAGCTTTCACTCATTTCTCTTGGCTGATTTGTAAACCAACCATTAGTCACTAGTATGTCTTTAGAGATAAATTTTTTAAACTGGTTTTGTGAGAATGCGTGGTTTCATGCAGTCACAACATTGACTTTTCCTTTTATCTGCAGTTGATCACTTAAATAAAAAAATAATAGAGGACTCAGAATCTCAAAATATGATGTTCTTAAAATCATCATGGAGATTGTCAGCTAGAGATACTTAGACTGGTGATTTTACTCGAGCCCTCTGAAAGGAAGTCAAAATTCTTCTGTTATGAGAATAATTCCCAGGAAGAGACGTGGTGGTGGCTTGTTAGGGATAGGTAAGGGAATACGCAAGCATGAGATTATCGCGGTAAAATCAAACAGAGGGGTAAGACATATATGTAGGAAAAAGTTCTACAGTTCATGAAATAATTTGTTTTGAACAGATCTCATCCTTCCTTTTTCCTTCCTTTGTATCCTTGTTCTTGAAGTGAAAATATGTCCACTTTGCCGTGGCATCTTCGGAAACTGTAGGCTTCAATAAAATAGTTCAGTAAAATAGTTGGTTGCTAAGAGGCAAAGTCACCAGGATTAAAGAAGATGAAATTGTCAGGAGGTTCTGGATGCCATGTAATATTGAAGCTGAATCTTTCATGGTCACAGGGTTTGGAGCACAAAAGTGCTCTACCTGTTATAACTTGGGCCACTTCATATGTTTCTGAATCCTCTGTAGTCAGTATACCTACAGAGAAGGTGGAAAAGACTTTCACTAAAAAAAACCATCTTCAACAAAATACGGGGTGTAAAAGTATACTTTTACTCCCTGTAGGAGTAGGGAGTAAAATAGGTAGGTGGGGCAATGACATTCATGTTGTTATAAACACATCTATCTGATGTCTGTGAATATACATGAACCTGTTAATCATATAGCTGGAAGACAGCAAAGCCTCTAAGGCAAAAAGACTGAGGTCAACAATAAGGTAATGCCAAATATCTGTCAAGAAGCACTCTCAGAAATGTTCAGCATTTCAAAATGTATGGTTTTGGGTTTTTTCCTAAAATGTTGGCTAGTAATACATTTTGATTTGAAAAAAGACACAGCTGGATTTTGTGAAATAGGCACAGACTAGAAAAAGGCACAGAACTCGGGCAACTGCCCATTCTATCAATCTTCTCTATAAATGCAGCACATTACTTGCTCTCTGTGCATCTGATTTTTATTTCCAATAAATATGTATGAGAAGATGATAAAAGAGACTCCTAAAGATACTATTAAAAAACCCTAAGTAACCAAGGCACTGAATTTTTAGTTATGTCCACTTACAGATGTATTATATGATGAAAAAATGAATAACAGGCTTCACTTACCAGGTTTATTTGAATTTATTTTACTTATCAGTACCAATGACCGTAGTGAGAGAAAACTATGCATTGGGAAGTGCTGATGCAAACCATTTGTTCAAGAGTACGCAGGCAAGGTGCTGATGCACAGCAAAGTTGAGGGTAGCTTTCTTTAGATAATGATCTGTTTCTGGGTTAGTGGGAAATTGTTGTTAGGTCTGGAACATCTGTGGATTTCAGATGAACTAAGTTCAGAAGTAATTGGCAGCACATCTGATCTAACAGCCCTTATAAATGAGCCTCTCTTGAACCAATTCCACTTAATAAAGTCAATGTAGTAGCTTATGTGAAAAGATCATGTGCAGCATCAGACACTATACTGACTCCACTGTCAATCTGGATCTGGTTCTAATTAACCACTGTATTGGCTTCCCTGTAGTGTAATCCTGCAGAACTGGACAGACTTATGTTTGATCTAAGCAGTAAAAATCAGAGGTAGGAACCAGGTCTCAAGATTGAGGAATACAAGACACTTTAAAGCTGCAGTTTCTTTTCACTGTCTTAAACTATACCTCTCAAAAATGTTTCTCTTTTCCATTAGACTTCACAGGTAAAAACAAAGGGAGGAATTTAATAGCTAGGTTCTTGATTTTGATTAGAAGCAGCAGCTTCGGTGACTGCACAGCAAACCCCCCCTGTAGCTGCCAAGCCTGTCAGGTTTATCTCTTGGGTCAGTCCTCCACTGAGCCCTGCTCTTCTCCTGCAGAGGTAGATGGAAAGAATGTCTGAGTCTTCAAAAGATAGACACTATAACAAAATTTATCTAGTAAAATCTATATCTGTCAACCCCCAGTGTGTTTTTCAGGTTGGGGGAATTGTAGAAGCATTGTACTACTGTGTTTCTGTTTTGTTTACTTGGGTTTTTTTAATATATATTTAGAAATAGTATCACTAAAGGATAGTTGTTCATTTACTCTCAATCTCCTGTAAGTACCACAGGACCTGGTTTCACTTGTTTCACATGTTCATTCTCTCTTGCTGAAAAGTACCTTACCCTCTGCATGAAGCCATGATATAAGGCATGAAAAGAGGACATTATTGCAAGTAAAGTTTTTGCAATCTATGCATTCTTGTAGAAAGAAGCCTAAAAGGCAGTGACTTATTAGGGAGTAATCTCTTAATATAGGAAATGAAAAGCATAGCACTTCGAAACCACTCCTCGAATTATCTAAGAAAAGCTGTGTTCGTGACTTTCTTTGCAGTACAGTGTCCAACTCCACATATTTCTGAGGTGTAGAAAAAGCCTTGTTTCTCTTGTGACTCTACCTGGAATAATGTAATTGGACTGAAAATGATAGATTCTATGGTACTGTGTAAATGTGGTATTTCCTATTCTATTGTTCTGTTAAATCTACAGCTCTACAGATTATATTGTGATACCTAATACTTAGTTTACTAAAAAAGTTTTACTAGAGTAAATTTCACATCAGTAGTTCATTCCCGACCGAACAGGAGTCACTGATTTTTATTACTTGCCAGTAGAAATTTGAAAAAACTTAAATGTATAGCTTGTATATAGTTGGCGTTTTTGTTTTGATTTTGATTTGTTGTTGTTGTTTGGGGTTTCTTGGAAGTGGTTTTATGTTTTGTTTTGTTTTTTTTCCTTTAATGCCAATATAGTAGAAAGTTCAAAACAGGCATTAGGATGTAGAGAAATAGTTTGAAATCGGGGATGTTCAATAGGAATATGAACATATGAAACACACATAGAATCATTCCAGATGGAACTGCATGAGCAGGGTAAAAAATCAAGGACACAAATATGTGGGAGCTAGGATTGAGAACTAGGTAATGCAATGGCAAAAACGTGCCATCATCTCCCAGTTTGTGCACAGCTCTCTGACCACAACTTTACATCATCATCACCTCTTCTTCCTTCACCTTTATTTGGTTTTGCAATGAATGTGGTAACCATAGTTGCCATACTTCAGTATAGTTCTGATTTCATAATAAGTATAGTCTGAGATGTTTAACAAATCAGGGTCTGGAAACATGAGGCCCTCCCTGCTGAGTGTCTGCATAACAGTAGAACCTAGGGAAGATCAGAGCATCTTGTTTTCCTGGGCTGCTGATGCAGCATCTAAGTGTCTAGCAGCATCAGGCAAAGAGGGAAACTGCATAGCATGTTACTTAGAAATTCCTTTCTCTGACATACATACATAAAATCTGTTTTGAGTCATTGCATATGCATCAAATAGGTATTCTAGACTTTTCACAAAATCCTGTCATGTTACAAATGTGGCAGTATGGGCAAAAATTATAGCTTGCATGGCTTTTAAATGTTGTCTAAATTGACCAGGACATTTAACTTTAAGGATTTTAACTGTATTCTAATTATTTTAACATGATTAATGAAATCTAATTTTATCAACTTTAATAAAGTTGAAGATCCACTACTCACTTGTGTAAAGGACAAACAGTATTTAGTTTTAAAGTAAAGAACCTACAAAACATCTTGGCAGCTGAAGGAAGCTTGCTTATCACTCTAGTCATGTTAGAGACACTGTTCCATGTTGCATTAAGCTTATAAATTAAAATCAGACATAAAATGAGAAATAAATTAAAATTAATTGAAGAGAACTGAAAAGTAGTGCATTTAAATTTTTGGGCTTTATATTTTCAAAGTGACTAATGCTTACTTAATTAGAGTGATTTACTTCTCTTCTACCTCTTTGGAACAGCTCAAGTACCCGGAGTTGAAACACTTACAGAAGCTATTGATGAATTTCAGAGTGCCTCTCAAGTGGCAGGATCTGTAAGTATCTTCCCATATGGATAATCCTTTAAAATTTTGTGGTTTTAAAGTTTCATAAAGAATAGATTTTGCATAAAGATGAAAGTTCTGCTTGCCAACACTGTCATCCTAGAGAGAAGAAAACTAAATTTACACAGTCCTTCCAAAGGAGGGACAGTTCTCTGTCTTAATTTTCCTTCTAGGAAAGGTGATATTTTGAAATGCGTTATTATAATTTCCTACAAAACTGTATTTTGTTAAGACTTACACATATAGCTCCCATTGAAAGTGCAGTCATTTTATACTATGTCTGTATGTTTTTAACCATTAGTCAAATATTCATTTTACCAGATATTACTCAATTTTACAAATAGAAGAGAAAACATAATTAAAACTCTCTTTCATTATGAAATATGAAATTATAATATCTCAACTATAATTTAGCTTTTTGTTAATATTTGCTTGAAAACTAAGAAACAAGAGGTGTTTAGTTAAAATATATGGCTATAAATATATATATACATATATATTTAAAGAATGCAACATTATGCTTAGTAATATTTCCACCAGTTCTTTTATTTTGAAATTTAAGAAAATCATTGCAGATATGAAGTTTGCAGAAAACATAACCAGCAGTAAAATAATTTCAAAAAATTATATAACCATAATTTTGATGCTAGTTGTATTGCACCAGGAATTTGAATATAGGTTAAAGAAGGGATTGATTTTTTTTCTAAGACAAATAACTTGACAATAGTTGTTTGGTTTAGCAAAATTGTAGACAGATACAAGAGGACATGTTAATTCCTGTTCAGCCATTGCAACACTGGTTTATAGCACACCTTAGTGTTTATAAAGTAAGTGAAAGGAAGAGCTCAGTATTTTTTAGCTAAGGAAAAAGGGCAACATAAATTCAGGCATCTGATTAGTTAGTACTAGTAAAGCTAGATAGTATTGAACGTAAAGTATTTCCAACGAGACTTATCAAAGCAGTTGACAGATCTGGAGTTCTAGATCAATTCCTAAAGCTCTGAGAACTTGGAGTGCAAGAATCTCACACAGCATTTGCAGATATTGGGCAAAAGGAGTAAATAACAGAACTTTAGTTGCCATTGCTTGGAGTTTCTTTCTTGAGCCTCCTGCTTCACACCAGTGAGCAGAGGGGTATAGTAAATTTTGGATCAGTTTCTGAACCCACGTTCCTTGTTGATTTGGACCTGCAGCTACCAAATTTGATTTATCAGTTCTGCAAACATGTAGCATAGGGAAAGAGCAACAAATTAATTGAATTACATAGAAAAATAAAAATAGGTTGAAAACAAAAGATCGTTATGCTTAGTAGCAAAATCTTGTTACAGAAATGTACAGCCTTCAGCTGAATAGTTTTAAGTATATTCTCTGTGTGCACATGCTTCGGAACAAACAAACAATATGTACCTGTGTCATTTAATGCTCTGCTAGTTCCAGGCTTAGTTAAGATTGCCTGGAAGACTAGACTGCCAGAGACAGTAAGGTTCTGGGCTGTATCCCTGAAAGCCACACTGGCTATTGCTGTTATGGCCAGTGGTGCAAAGAGAAGACAAGAGCAGTTGCAGCTATTGCTCTATCCACCCATCCTCTCTGTGGGGCAAAGGCAGCTCACTTCGCTTCTACGATTTCTTGGGAAACTACTTTGCCTAAGTTTCTAAGGAGCCAGTTATGGTTAGTTCATATGCTATGGGGTTTTTTGGGGTTGGATTTTTTTGTGTAGTGTGTCTTAAAGTTCTTGTTTAAGTAGTGCATAACTAGCTGATTGTGTACGTTTCTCTTTACGTAAGATTGAGGTATCCAGCACTATGATTGCCTGTAACTTATCTCCTCAAAACGAATCAAACGATACAACTGTTCTTGTTGCCTTTTAGGGCTGTAATGGAGAGATCTGTTCCACGGTCCCCTAATAACTTTCAGTGAGACTTATTCTTTGACAATCTTGATATATAAAATAGAGAGATAAGACTGAGGTTCCTCATAGGAAGGCTGTGAAGATAAATGCATTCTTGCAATGGATTTCCACAAATCCTCCAAAGCAGTAAGAAATATGCCTGTAAAATTACTTCAGAATTTATACCAAAATACATTCTGATGACTTGAATGATTTTCAGATATTATATGAGATACAAGATGAGAGAAAAATAGAATAAGGTGTTGATCAGACATTTCTCATAAATTGGACAAATTGGTTCATGGCATTCACTCAAATGTGCATATTACATGTAAAAACCACTGATGTGTTTTAAGGTGTGCAATGTTTAACATTGGTACTGCATTCCAGTGGGGTAATTTGAATCTGTTGCTAGTTAAATGGATCATTATAATAACTTTTCTCAACTAATGTGTATTTGAAAAATTTTTCTCAAAGGTACATTGGCCTTCATATGATAAGTACTTTTAGAAAAATTGTAGAAAGAATTGTACATAAGGGTCTTCAGAAAAGAACTGTGTGGGTTCTTTTCTTTATTCCCATGTATGAATCCACATGTAAGATCTTTAATGTGGATACTAAAACAATCTAGATACTAAAACTATCTCAGAAGAGATAGGCAACATCTATGTCTATAACATTGTTCATGTAATTTACACTGTGGTTATATTATGATTTTCTTTGTAGCATTGTATATGTTTACTGTTCTATTTCTGAAAAATTGGGGAGTTTTTGTAGTTAGACCTTTTTCTTTAAACATAGAATCTTTTGCTATGCTTTATTTTTCATGAAAAGAGTTAATGTTTGAAAAATGGAGAAATCAGATTTTCAGTGCTGCCCAATCCCAAACAAGGCATTCTAAATTAATGAGTAAAGCTAGCAAAAAGCTGGTTGAAGTATTTACAAGAATGAGCACTTTTCCCAAGTGTTTTGCAAGAATTCAAAGTGGAAGGAAGCATTCAAAAGATCCTTAGAGATCCTAGTTTACTCGTGGGTCATTTTCTCACAAATGTTTAATGTGATGAAAAGTGCTAGGCAAAATGCAAAAGCTTTTTCTTGAGATTTTTTCAGTGTGGTGAACTCAGAGTCCTATTTTACTTTATGTTTCTTCAAATGAGTTTAATAAATCTTTGGCTACCAAGCTTTAAGAAAACACCAAAGTGATATTAGGAAAAATTTAAGTGGGCTAGAATTCCAGCAGAAATGGAAAAGCAAGGGGAAGTCACTAACTTTACTAACTTTACAGTGACTAACAGAAAGGATAAAGGCACATGCACTGAGCATATCACATTGCCTTTGCCTTCCCTCTGAGTTGCTTCCTTTACCACCTGGATCTAACAGGACTCATGCTTAGTTGTTGAGGGGTTTTATGTGAATCTTTGCATTCAGTCATCTTGGTTTGCATGTGCACATAAAAAGGTATATTTTTCTCTGCAAATTATCCATGTAAGGCAAACCAATCCAAATGTAACAGAAACTGGAAGAAAAAAGCATATCTGCATGAATTTGCCTTGGGTTTTTGCTCTTTATTATTGGGAGAAAAATACTGTAGTAAAGTGTTTTATAAAAATGTTTTGTTTTAAATAAATTTTCTCCTGTATTCATTACTGCTTTGAAACTTTTCATTTGCTTTTATTGAGGGAATTCAGACATGGATTTTCTGTGACAAATGCATAAATTCCTTAATGGTAATTCAGTTTGTGAAATGACTTGAGGCTTCATGCACCAGAAAAAATTAAGCTTTTATTCTTACTATCAGTATATGTTGAATACTATGATGATGCATCATATAAATTCTATTAGAAATTTTCATAGCTTTTTCCACTATTTCCCGTTAGAACAATACTAAGAAGTAACTTGATTACTTGTACAAGTTTGAGTATAATCAACAGCTCTAAATTACCCAAACTTCAGTAATTAACTAAATCTATACATTATTTCTTGGATTGGGGTCACTATTTAGCATTTAGCAGGTTAGTCATTAAAAGAATTATTTTAAGGTTGCTCTGCCACATCAGGAAGACCAACAGTTCACCTGTGAGGTAGTATGAATTATGAAGGTCATACTGGTGTATTATACACACAAAACTAGTGTGTTCTGATACAAAAGTTTTCAAATCCAAGTGGTATTTTGTATGCATGTGGAAATTCAGGCACCTACAGTTGAAAAAAAAGGAAAAATTATTTTTTACTTTTAAAATTATCTTTTTCTTTGGAAGGCACCTGAAGTACTTAAAGAAATTATCCTTTCTTATCTGCTGATATTCTTTTTGCTGATATTCAGTTACGTATTGCACAACATGAGCCCTCCTGGGTCCCTGCATGACCCCTGTGATGCCTGGCAGGGCTGCCACATTCCTCTATCTGAGCCCCAAGGGTAAGGACTGCTTCCAGAAAAGCCTCTGCTTCTCACAAGTTCATCAGCCCCACTGGCACGCAGCATGTGCTTAGTGCTTTGGAGGAGATCTAACACAGGCAGACAGTAGGGCAGTTTTCTTCTTGAGTGAAAATACTCTTATTAGGAAATGTTTAATCCCCTAAAATGTAATTTTAAACTGAAAGAATATTTTGAACTTTAAAAAAATACATATATATAAAATAAATAATTGAGTGCCTTGTTTTTACCTGTCTAAAATTTTGGGTTCTTGGTCATGACAAATTCAGAAATATTATTCCAAATAACAGTAAGTCAGAATGGAAATTTAGAAAAAAATTATTCTGATTGCATTTCAGAAACTTAAACAAATGTGATTCCCAGGTGTCCACATATTTCCTGCTTCCCACTTGCCTGTAAACAGAAAAATGGTGTGTAGGTTAACTCAAACTACCATTTTTTTAGTGCAAGGTTGAGTGTAAAATGTGCTGGCTGACTGCCATGGGAAGCAAAAAGCTTGTAATTTCAATTACATGGTATTTCAAATAGAACAGGCCCTAATGTGGAAGGTGGGGATTAGACGTGGCAGCTGATATTGCAGCAGAGCTCTGAGAAGGCTTATTATTTTTACAGTGTCAAAACCCTGTGTTGAGTAGCTCATCTTATGTCCTTGAACAGACTATGGAAGCTGAAAGATTAAACATTTGGTAAACTCTGTACAGAAAGTACATGTTGTGTGCAGAATCTTCAAATGAAATATTGCACAAAAAGTTCCACTGCATGCAGAGTGTCTGTACTTGCCAGCTGCTTGGCCAGAGTGGAAGGGACATTTGCAAACAACTTCTTCAGTAAAGAGGGGTTCTTTTTGTATTTGGAGGGATCTCTGCCGAACATGTCTATATAAAGATATTCAAGCTATTCAGCAAAGAAATGGTAGGTTATGCATAGAAAGCTAAGCACAGTTGTATTCTTTCCAGTCTTACCTCCTGAAGTTACTCATAAAATTTTCACATGATTAGAAAAACTATGTAGAATGAAAAGTACAATAAAAACACTTTAGATATACTTACAGCTTGGCAGGAACTAATTAATTGGATTTACCTCCTTTTCCTCATTTCATTGTGATCATACAATTCAGACAGTCTTTAAAAATGAAGAAGCATTTTCTCTTCTGAGGTGGTGACCTACTCAATTGCATTTCTGTTCCATTGTGGCATTCCCAGTAAGTTAAGGTATTTTCCAGAAGTTCAGGAAATCAATGATGAGAGGGATTATCTTTGGCCTTATTGTTTGGAATTTTTTATCTTAGCAGTAATTTGGCTAAGGGACTACGGAAGAAACAAAGCATTAATGAATGTATGGTATGTGAAGAAATTATGACAATATATAAAGAAAGCCACATAAGAAGTAGACACATAGTTGACCTTAAAAGTTGACAAATATAACCCAAGGGCTTTGTTTCAACATATTTCTGGTGCAGAGAGACACTGCCTCACCTTGAAAGTTTGAAGGTGATAAACAGGGCCCAGAGTTGCTTCTACTGTGGCGTTCAGTAATGAAGAGACCGAGGAGATGGTCTGTTTGCTGGCAACCCTTTCAAATTGCTGTGTTGCCCTGATGATTTAGTTGCCTTTCCTGAAAGGAATACTTCTTGCAGTGATAAAACAGTACTGGCAATTTTGATTAGGAAATTCTATGATATTCTCAGAAGTGCTGCTTTGCAGAGATACTGTGCCAAATGTTATGGTAATTTAAAGTAAATGCAACCCCCATTAAGTAACTGGAACTGCTCAGAAGGTAAATCATTGAGGAATTTGTCCTGTTCCAATGTCCAAACATGGAGCAAGAGCTTGTGTGAAGGTGTATATCTGAGTTTCTTTAGACCTGCTACTTTTATCTAATGCCTGCTACTTATTTTATTTAAGGTAAGACATGATATTTTGTAGTGTTTTGCATAAAATTTTATATTTATATTCTACATAAAAAGCACCAGATTCGTGATTCTAAATGAGAACACCACTTTTTTTATTGTTTCATATATAGATATGAAACTAAATTAAAAGTATTCCCTTTTCTTTTTATCTATGTAAGTCTCAGACAGTCTGGACCTTGGACACTATGGGTGTCAGACCTGGAGGTTCCCCAAGACAGAAACTCCTAAAAGACTCCTTAGCAGCAAAAGAACTTCAGACCATGGAAAAACACCTAGCTGGTATGTATGGTTGCAAGGGATCATAAAATGCCTAACAGCACTTACTGAGCTTTCTCTGCCAAGATTTTAGATGGAGGAAAAGATTATCTATCTCATGTGCTGATGAAAACAGATGAAAAGTTAAACTTCCCTTTTTTTCATTGAATAAAACCAACAAAATTATTGTTTTATTTGTAGGTGTAATGAATTTCACTGTACAGTCAGTACAGTACTTAAACAGTAATTAAACTGTGTTAAATTAAATAAACAGTTAAATACACTGACAGATCGCAGCACAATAATGCTCCTTTTTTTTTGTTTTCATGTTTCACTAAGACTTCTGCAGTAAGGAGGTACCAATGCTTTATCTTCTGTTAAGCAGTCTTTAAAAACAGGCTGCAGTGAACATTTTGCTTGAGAATAGATTGCTTTGCAGGAAAAACTCACCTTGTTCATGAGACTTCTGGTTGAGTGAAGTCTGTTAATTTGTGTGCTGTGGAACATCTGCAACATCTTTGAGGGGGTAATCATTTCTGAAAAGTCAAACAAAAAAGTGTGTTTTTTTCAGCAAAAAATATGTTTTAGAGCTTTATAAAGGTTAATGAGGGATATCCTAAAAGGTAGCTTGCAATTTGTTCCTCTTTGTAATCAATATTTTCTGTCTTCCGCTTTCATTATAATGTATTACATAGACCTATAGCATAATAGTCCTATATAATGCATGCTATTTGTCATATGGTGAAAGTAATGATGAACTGGTACATAAAGAATGTATATGAAGGTAGAAATGAAATCTATCTGATCCCTCTTTCAAGACATTCAGAGAGTGAGGCAGAGAACTTTACACTTTCAGTGTGATTTTCTGAAAGACTTTGTATATGTATCTTGCCAATAACACTGTGTGAAAGGCTTAGGAGCTGTATCTTCTTTTGAAAGAGATACAGCTCTTGTACTTCTTCTGCCTAGGGGCTGTTACAGCTGAAGTCAAGGCATAAGACAAAGCTGTAAGCACAGTGAGGGAAGCTCTTTAGAAAAAGGTTTGGCTCATAATGGGGCAAGAACTAAAAATAACGATATATAAAAATGAAGCTTTTTTAGGTGGTTTTTGTGTCTGACAACAGAGATGCTGTCATTCAGATTTTTTTGGCAAGTTCAAAAAGCCTACAACTATTAGAGCTGCAGCCACTGCCAAACTACACTGAAAAATCTCTAAGCTGAAACTGCCAGGAACATCTAGTGGGAACCAGGAGACCAGCAAACCAATCTGTGGTCATCAGGTTTCTGTATCATAGCAGGGACCTGAATATTCCGGGGGCCTCTGCTACTGAGGTAGCACTTGTCTTCCCTTATGTTGCTGTAGTTATCACTCCGGAAGGGGTCAGGTGAAGATCTCCCTACTTCAGTTTACATCCTAACTAGTCTCACTTCCATGGTCATACAAACTATTCTTGTACAAGTATGCTGTGAAACATGGAGTTCCTTTAGATCTCCCTTGGCAAAGCTGACAGTAATAACTACAATATTCAATAAAATATGGAATTTTAAATACTTAATTGATTGTAAAATAACTAGCTACATTCACGAAGGCTCTGAGATTCAGTCTGCTATTGTGTGACCTACAAGGTCTTCTCTTTCACATCAATGCTATTCCTGTTATTTGATTTTGGGCCTGTTATTTCAGTAATGCTGTAACATGAGGATCAGTTATTCTACCATTCAGTAATTTTTGTCTGGCTGAGAACTTCACTTGAAAATAGCCCAATTATTAGACACTGGGATATTGTATTCCTAATAATTCATGTCTATTATAACACTAGTGCTGCTTGAGAAAATTATTCCCCTCACACACGAGCATAACATGATTTCCATGAAGAATCAGTTTGGAGTACCTCAGATAATAATACTGCAGTTTTGCTTAGCCTTATTTGTCTTACACATTTGCAAGAGTTCAGATGTCTGTGATATCAGCAAGTCTCCTTGTTTCACTTCTCTTACCAAGCGCACTGGAACCCATTAATTCTATAAAATGATTGCTTATCTAGACAGTCATTTCAGTGCCTGAGTTATGACTTGGATTACCTGCGTAATGATGAAATATGGTCCCGTCTCAGATATACCTTCTTAAGGGGCCTGTTTTTCCCTTATGGACTATGTGCTGGATAAAACTCACTCCTAACATAAGGCATACTTTGGTGCCTGTGCCTAAATTAGGGACTAATACTGATTGCCAGCAACTGCCTCAGTACCTTGATATTTGAAAACAGCATTTTTACAGAATCAGATGTTGAAGCAATCAGTTTTCTTTTCCTTCTCTGCATATGGCTCGTAACTTTTTTGTCTAAGATCCAGTCTCTTATGTTACTGTGGCTACTTTATATCACATCCAAGTGGAGAATATTTTTTTTGGTAGTTGATTCCAGTATCTTGCCAATTTGGTTTGTTACACTGATTCTGTGGTCTTTGGATACTTCTGGAATATATTTTATCACAAGAAGAACTGTTAAATAATAAACAGTTTTCAAGTGCATATGAATGATATTCTTATTCTGCCATATTTTTAATGAAAACAAAATGACTTTGTGTTGCTCTGTTGCCTGTATTTTATTTCCCTTTAAATGATATCAACAAGGATTTAAAAAAAATTCTAAGTTATAATTCAATTCTGTTATTTAATATGGATCTGATAATACTGTAAAGCTGATTTTTTTTTTCTTTCTGGTTGAAAGGCTTATATTAAAGCAAAATCAAACAGAGGATGTGTAAATAAAACTGAATAATTATGCTATAGAAACATGTTAATTATATATAGAGAAATGATTAGAATAATTGGTTTATCTGCAGGCTTGATTGCTACATGAAATGAAGGAAACGTGAGCTAGAATATTATGTTTATTTAACTCTTATTAGATCATTCAGTATTCAGGTAATCTCTTCCCTGAATCACCACAGGGAAGTTAGAGGTCTGTAATTTTGCAAAGAAATAAGATAAGCTGAATCTTTAAAAGAACATATTCTTCATTTGGTTTAAATCAAGTAGTCCGCAATATCATTTATTTACCCCTGAATTTTTGACAGGCATCTTACAAGTTCTGCACCAAAATAGGAGTGGCCAGCAGGTCAAGGGAGGTGATTCTCCACCTCTACTCCACCTTTGTGAGGCCCTACCTGGAGTGTTGCATTGAACTCGGGGGCTCCCAACATAAGAAGAATGGGGACCTGTTTGTGTGGGTCCAGAGAAGGGCCACGAAGATGATCAGAAGGTTGGAGCATCTCACCTGCGAAGACAGGCTGAGGCAGTTGGAGTTGTTCAGAAGAGAAGGCTCTGGGTAGACCCGAGAGCAGCCTTCCAGTACCCAAAGGGACCTGCAAGATTGCTGCAGAGGGACTTTTTATGAGTGCATGTAGTGGTAGGACAAGGAGGAAGGGTTTTAAACTAAAAGAGCAGAGATTTAGATTTGTGGATGTCCTGTCCCTGACAGTGTTCAAGGCCAGGTGTGATGGGGCCCTGAGCAACATGACTTAGTGGAAGGCATCCCTGCCCATAACCAGGGGATTCGGAACTAGATGACCTTAAAGATTTATTTCAGCCCAATCCATTCTATGATTTTATGAAGTTCCAAAGTTGAGAGCATAATGGAAGGATATTTCAGATGTAATAATTTCAAAATGGAAATAATTAATTTTAAGGGGTCAGCAAGGAATCAGTTAGAAATATTCTTAACTGTGTGCTAGAAACAATAACTGTGTTTTGAAGTTTGCTAACAGCTAAACATTTTATCTTTTAAAAGTTGAGAGACACTTTTATCTGAGGATTTCACAATTATTTCAGTTTTACTAGCTTTTCTATTAATAGCATTTGAATTGTGTGGAATATGTTGTATTAGGCTAGTAACATGAAATTGGCATAGCTTATTTTCCTGTTTTCAAGGTATTATTATAAAATAAGCTAATGTTTACGGCAGCAGATCTTTATTTAACATACAGCATTCCTTTTATATCTACTGGTAAACATGTGAAAAAAAATCTTATTTTCCAATATGTGGTTTAGAATCTGTTTCTTTTAGGACTTTGAGAACCTGAAATCATTGTTATCAAAATAAAATATTAAATGCTTACTTTATATGAGCTCACTTAATAGGTGTTTAAATCAGTACAGCCCTTCTGATTTACAGCTTCTGGGACTGTGACTTGTGCAGTTTAATGGGAAATGATGTTGCTGTTCTAAAGATAATCAACTGTTTCTATGAAAACTAAGAGACAGTAGAGTACATGCCAATGAAAGTGAAAATTCGTAACAGTAGTGTAAGATAAAATAAACTTGATTAAACTGTTTCTTAAGCTCTACATTTCTACTTGCAAGGACTTTCAGTATGTTAGCAATGCCACCCTTACCTGACTTTGGTGGATATATATTATTTAATTCATTAGAAGCATTAATATTATTTAAATTAATTCAGGAAACACTTTTCATCACCACCCCTGATCTGTTGTGTTTTTAAATAAGATCTCATTTTTTATAGCTGTGTGAGAGGTAGGGATCGGACCACCAAATGGCAGTCACCTTTTCTCCTTGGATTCTAGATGTTGGTGACACCATCACATGCTGTGCCATTGACAGTAGGCCAGAACACAAAATTCAGGTTCAAACAGGATCACAGGTCCAGATGAGCAAAAGCTCAAGGGTTATTTCCCCCAGAGTTTTCGTTGGGCAGTAGACAGCAAGGCCAGAAGCTAAAGTTTTGCCTTGAACTAGTTTTGGATTGCGCTTTACTTCAGGTGAGGATGGCAAGTTTATGTCACAGTTCCATCTTGACTTGATACTAATCTTGGCAAAAGGCATAGACAGATAACTTTGATGAAATAAGAGGGATTTTTATAGGTTGTATTGACATTCAATGAAGTGGTAATGTTTCAATTCTGCGGGATAGCTGTGTCTGCAGTAAATAAACTTTAGGGAAATGCTTGCCAAAAACATGTGAACTGTTAATTCTGATGCCTTTTATTTTAAACATGAATAGGTTTTCTCCTCACAGCTTCAGATTGTCACTTACGTTGGAGAAAATCATTAAGGGTTTTAAACTAGAGAGGAATAGACAGTGAGTTTCTTTTCTTTCTGTTTTGTTTGTGTGTGTGCATAGACATTGAGAAGGACCTAGCATTATGGGAAGAAGCAAGGCTCTCAAGAAGCCCTGGTGTCCAGCATCACAGTGTAGTTACATCTGACAATCAAAGCAATCTTCAAGCTTCACAGGGCCAAACCCCAAGGCCTCAGGTGCCAGCTCCGACAGGGAAGAACATTCAGCTCCAAGGAAACAAATCACCACCGCTGCCCACCAACAGCAGAACACAGGTCTCCAGTGTTGCAAACAGTAGACCGTCCACACCTGGTGCAAAAACCAACAGGCCATCAACTCCAGGGAGCAGACCTGTGACTCCAAATAGCTTGTTGTCACGGCCTCTTGTCCCTAGCAACCAAGGAAATAGGGAAAGCATCATTAGTATACAAAGAAGCAGATCTTTGACATCTAAGAGCCAAATCGGGAGGACCCTCAGTGCTGCTTCAGGGCTCTCTGTGCAAGTGAGTGGAGACGTTGTTGGAACTGTCACTACTCAGAGAAACAGTTTATCAGAAGTAAGATTTTCAATTTAATGTCTTGGCTATGTTTAATAGCATGAATATGAGATTGCATTTTATGTTCAAATAACATTGGTATACCTAATGTAACCTACTGTGCTGAAAAGAACTTGAAATATAATTATGAGAAAATTAGCAAGGAAATACTGCTCAGCTTTGAGAGGTACAGATTAGAGAATGTCAGTATTATTAGAGAAATCATAATGAAACACTTGTGCTCCCCAAATTTACCATGAGCTGTGTAGGGTTTTGCCTGTATGATGCATACCAGTTTTGTTAGCCTTACAGTTTCTAAGAGGTGTGTACCTCTGGAATATTAAACACAACTTTATCTGCATACCTCTGGAATATTAAACACAACTTTATCTTATCTTTATGTTCCAGGGTATCTTTTTCCTGCCACACTGGCAGTGCATGATATTTCCTTGGTCTAATTTCTGTTTCATTTTTTGGGCCCATTGGAATGATTAGTTAGGCATCGCTCAATGGACAAATTTTTCCAAAGCACCAAACTGAATTGCAAGAGAAAATGTCTAACATTCTTGAATCATTGTCTAGTACTATGTGCATTAACTGCTGATTTACAGTATAAAAACTTCCATTCTATATTATTTGCTTTTACAGGATTAATCTTTGTTTAATACAGAACAGAACAAAAAATTAAAGTACCTTGTAAATTCTGAGTAGGATTCTCCTCTGCTAACCTTAGCTGCCTTAAAGATAACTTCAGTGTGTAGGCAGTGGAAATAAAAGCACCTGTGAAAAAATAGCCCTGCTGTCTATCTCAGATACATGCCTTACAAAGGTGAGTCTTTTCTCAGGATATGCTGGTCCTTCTATACTGACTTGAGAAGGAACTATATGTCTAGATTGGTAATTTTTAAATGGTGGGATATGTTGGATTCCACCATTATTATCAATCTCTTTGTAACCCATTTGTCAAAGCCTGGAGACCTTTTTTCAAAGTCTGAAAATAATATCATACCTTTAGATAATTGTTTCTGTGAAGTATCATCTGTTTTAATAATCTGTTGGGTGTGACATTTGACACAATGTATTATTAGTCTAATGACTTCTAAGGAAAATTTAAAACGTTGTTTATAATAATGTTGCTTAGAGATGCTTGTAGGAAAATTAGAGGTTTGATACTTAATGTAATCCTGCAGTTAATTATATGGCCTTCATTATTTGTTGTGAGAGAAAGGAAATAAGGCACAGATTAATCCAAAACTAAAGAATTTGGGGAGGGAATCTTACTTAAATTTGATGGTGAAAAAAATCCTCATTATTTTGGTGTTTGAATGGCAGCGTACTAATCCCATCACTCGAGCTACTTCTTCACATAGAATTGAATATCTAACTTAAGGACATGAAGACATGATGACTGAAGATGACTACAGTTCTGTCAAAAGTGTCTTCACTGCCAGTTGATATTTTCAAACCATAAGTTTTCCATGGAAAAAATATAAGTAATTGTAACACGTTTATTTTTTGACAGAAAAAAAAATCCCTCTGTCTTCTGTTTTGAGGTGTGTGATGTGTTTCTGTGTTAGAATTTTCTCACATACCAGAAAATGAGAATTAAAAATATTTTTTAACTAAAAATGTTCAGAAGACATGACGGGTTTAATTATCTCCCACTAAATTCTTCACTCCTCTTTTTCTTTTGTTTTAAGCAGCCTTGTTCTTTAGTAATACATAGTCATGTGATACCAACTAGAATTCTTGTATATACTCCTGAAAATATATGTATGTAATGAGCACTGCATCTCTAGTGAGGAACATTCAGTCTGTCCATCACTTCTCATCTTTCTTGTAACAAGACAAGGAATTAAAAATGCTTTCTTCCACAGCCTTTCTATAGTTATACTAATAAGAACCAAGAGTCACATTTCATTTGCTGTGTCTTATTACTTCTATTTGCTTATGGCTCTTATAATAAGTGTCCTGTTATACTTTTCAAATATATGTATATATGTGTCTCAAGAACTTCAGGAAGTGAGCATTATTATTACCCTGTTTTCCATTTAGAATAGCATGTCCAGCTTCAGTCAGCAATCCCACTTTAAAGCTGATGTTAAATCTCAGCATTTCTATGTCAGTTTTTATCCTCTGTTATAATTCCTTCTAGAAGTGACAAATTCTGTTCTTTCTCTTTGCTCCCTGGGTACAATAGTACCTTGGCTGCTAGTGAGCCAGCTCAAACCCTATTTATCCTTTCCTGACATGCACGAGTGACCTTTGACATAATGGAAACTCAACTTGGGACTAGCTCTGCTTCCAAATGGAAAACTGCTAATATGACACGTTCATACTGAAGACCTGCCTCTGCCAAGTTGTAAAGGCCCTTGGATATCAGGAAGTAGATGATGGAGGTCTGGCCAATCTGCCACTCCTAGCCTCTTCTTTGGAGTGTTATGCTAGAAGCTTTGTGAGCTCTTTTAAGCTGTCTTTGCCCACTGAAGTTCCTGGTCACTTAGAGGAGTGGATTTAGACAGAACATACCCAGGAAATATCCCTATCTGGTGACACTTTTTGCCATGTTAGAGGTTTTCTCCTATTTTTGGCCATGTGATTTCATTTTCTTGTGTCACAGCTTCTCTCTGACCATGCAGACATATTTTTAAAAAAGCAGTGGTGGCCTGGGATAAGAGAAAAAGAAGAGTTCTGTCTTTGTACTTTTACAGATCACAAATATATAAAACTCAAGGCTGATGCTGTAATTTATTTTGTGACTTTCATTGTAGGTTTTGTATCCTCTACCTGTATAAAACCGGTAAAATAAAAGAAGGGAAATTGCTTTTATTCTTTTTACCCTTATGGTGTCAACTGGGTATTTCTACTAGGTGTAAATACACTTTGGTTATATTGCCAATCCTACAGAAGAACATATGATAAGATATTGCAAATAATTCTGCTTCCTTACTCTTAGGTGATGTTAATGGAATTAACCAGTACAACATTGATGCATATTTACGAGAATAAGTCAGTTGAAAGAAAGTGATTGTTGGACACCCAGAACATGTTTTACCATGAGGAACTTGAATTATTTATTTATTTGTTTGTTTGTCAGGAATTTTAGCATATCTCTCAATGCCTTATGTATTGTAGATTGTAATGTGTTTCAGAGTAATATAACAAGTCTAAAATAGAAAAATATTACTAATACAGTTCAAAGTTCTTAAGTTTTAGTAAAGTTCATGCTGCAGCATGGGTGGTTTAATCTTGTTATAGCACAAATCTTAAATAATTTGGCAAGTACTTAACATATCAGCTGTTAAGAAAGTTTTGGGCTTTTTTAGTGCTTAAAGACTTATAATGATCTGAGATTTTGTGGACAAGTTTCTGCCTCCTGGCACACACAGTATTACTAACTTCTAGCAGGTGTGTTTTATTATCAGCTCTGTTCAAGGCTGAATTGAATTATAGGAAACAAATGCTACCTAGAGAAATAGTTTTATTATCTCTATAAAGCTAATAAATCGGGGTTCCAAATCCTTTGGCAGAGATAGTTTTATGCATATACTTAATCCTTCGGTGTTTTGTATAAATTGGCAAAGGAATGTTGAATCCTGCTTATCTCTTTAGGATGGATTCCATTAAAATGACACAATTCTGTGATATTATCAATAGCTGTTGAGATGAAAATACTACTGATTCCCTTGGTTGCCATTTCATTTGCTGAACACTTGGAATTTTACAATCATTTTATTTATTCAGATAACTTAAAATTGTATTCAGCAATCTTTATTGGTCTGTCATTGTTAAGAGAAGGAAATTTCACCTTATTTGAACATAGCATTGATTCACAAAATTTTTACTCCTACTTAGTGCAATATAGATCATACCTTGTGATGAGGACTCTCTTTTTGGTCAGATACTTTCATTCTGTTCTGCTGCCCGGCTCAGGTCCTTGCTCTGTGTTTTTGGAAGATTAAAAGCTATGCAGATGAGTGTGAGCGCCACTTCCCCTACTGCAAGAATCCTGTTCCATGAAACAAAACATGTTCGGTGCTGTAGTCAGCAACCTTCTCGAACACAGCACATCTGAAATGACAATACATGAGTAAGGCCTGGACCTCCCGCCTGAGCTTACTGTTGGGCCATGGCAGCAGCGCTTGTGGAATTTTTTAACAGATTGCTAACAGAATTAATAATTTACTCCCAGTGAGTTAGATCTTGATTGAACTGTCTTCAGTCTCCACAAACTGATTTGAACAAGCCTGGTTTCTGTTTTTAAATCAGATAGCCTAAGAATAAAATTTATTCTGTAGTACTATTTAACTTTAAGTATGTAGATTCTGGTTCTCAGCTGATGTAAGAGAAAATAGGGCTATTACCCCCCATTTTTTTCAAGAACTTATAAAAATCTGGCCAGTAATTTTATGATATCTGGCCAGTGTTTTAAGTTTTCTTTTAGAGACTAGACTTGCATGTTTGAACTGCTTTTTCAAATAAAAATGTGCATTCCAGTCTCATCTCTTCCCTTGAATAGTGCAAAGGAATGTGTCAAAGTGTTTTGTGTGTCTGTATGTGTACATGCTCACATACATATGTGTATGTGTGTGCATGGAAAAATATTTTTATATATATACATATATACATTATATTAAAAAGGAGACAATTGTAAAACATTTTAAAAATCGTATATTCAGCTGGATTTTTTAACTGTGTAAAACATTTATATTTTGATGTTTTATGGTATCTTGGAGACAAGGGTTTCCATAGCGTTTTTCCTTCCTAAGTTTACTTGTTCTCCAATAAAACCATCAAGTTTCAGGTTCTTGTTCTTATTAAATTAGAATCAGTGAAAGTTTCAACAAATCAAAACTTCACTTAAGCAAATCATGTTTGAAGTGTCTATGCAGTCCAAAGACTGCAGGGACAGATGGAATATCTCCAGTTTTGTTCTGTGTCACTACATTTCCAAGAAGAGTATGTGTGTATCTGTCATATCGGGGTCTATAGCAGATAGATAGCTAAAGAAACCCCTTCTTCACCCCTCAAATAGACAAATAAGTAATTAAATACTATAATTGCTAAGGAGCCTGCATATCCTCTACATTCTGGTTTTATTTCATAGCAAGGGTTTTTCTAATAAAAGGCTTTCTCCTCTCTAGTTAATTGAGGCTAGAATATTTGCTACAGTCTGCATTTATATAGAATAGTTGTCTGTCATTTTATCTAAAATAGATCTGTTTGTGGCAGGATGCATTCTTACTACAGCTTCAACTTGCTAATCAACCTTGGATATTTCTGAGTGACACAGAAAGTGAAGGAGTGGAAGCTGACCAAGACAAATGTAAGTATATTTGTTAGGATCAGATAGTATGTAAAAACCCCTCAAACTTAACTTCTCTTTTCCATATCTTCAAATGCTGTGGAGATGTCGTGCCTGCTCAGAGCAATTTTTCTCAAAAGTGCCAGTTACTCATTTGTCTTAGGGCTGAACTTTATAGGATTGATTTACCAAAGCTTTCCTATAGTCACTGAAAAATGACAAAATTATCACAGACCACAGTTTACTTAAGCTAAGTGAAACAATTTCTCCTGATGTGTTAAAATAGCTGTTCCAGAAGTAACATGAAGTTGAAATAGATACTCTGTTTAATAAATATATATTCACCAGCTTAAAGAAACAATGTAAAAACTCTCTGCTCTGAAAAGTAGAGCCTCCCTCCTTAGGCCTGTAACTCCATTATCTCTATTTTACCTGTATTCTTTTTAATTCATCTGTATAGAAAAAAGAAAAGTTCTTAATCATACAAGTAATCCTTAATATCTTACACTCTTTAAGCATTTGCCTGATCATGCAAGTGAAGGTCAGCAGGATCACAACCTAAATGACAGAACAAGTAACAACAAGTAACAGGCTATAAAGTGCAATATGTTCAAACTGTGGCAAGTTCTCTCTGCCTACAAGGTACTTGTAAATAATCTTACTGAAAACATTAACTGTTTCACATATTCTTTTTTAATTCACAGTAGTTTTGTGATCTTCAAAGGTGAATATGCAAACTGTTTCCTAACATATTTTAGGTGATATACTTGAAAAGAACATATGATTTAATCAGCATGTTTAGAAAACTCAATACATTCAACTAAAACTGGTTTAAACATGATAGTTAACATATGAAAAAGACAAATTCTTCACAGAATGGAATAGTTCTGTAAGGGATTAATGATTAATAATAATCATGCCAGATAAGCAGAATGTATTTTTAAATTATGCCACTTTAAAAATATATACTATATATAATATATACTCATATATCAGTTTCACAGATTCATACATAGCCCAGAGTTTGACTGGGAAATTTAGATTTACACAATGGGATACTGAAGAGCATGTCCCAGGTTTCTTGAATACACAGTGTTAAAATGAGGCTCTGTGTGTCCAGCTGATTTTAGTCCAAAGCCAGTAAGTCCAGTTTGATTTGCAGCTGAGCCTTTCAGTTATCTTTGGGCTGAAGCTCACCTTAGGTGGCCCAAGGTAGACTCTGGTACCTGCCTTTTCTGTTCATGCGATTTTTCCTTGGTATTTTCTGTAATGAATTTACAATCCCACAAACATTGGTAGGACTGGCTGTGCACACACAAACTGGTGCCAATTATGTGATCAGGGAGATTGATGCTTTAGGACATATCAGATACACAACATGGTTCATTTATAGCTCCTATACTTGAGTTGCGTGAATGTGAGGACTTCTGAGCACCCAAGATCCTGCACTATCATATTGCAAGAATCCTGGTAGGTCATTGTCACTGCCCAGTGTAACAAAGTGGTAAATTATAGATAAAAGTTTCAGTCCCACAATCAAATCATTAGAGATGATAGTTGCCTAACTAATAACAATTGTTTTTGCTGGATCTGATGGCACTGAGAAGAGAGAAGGGAAAGAAGGTAAGCTATAGTTTCTAACCAGAAGTTAAAGAATGCAGTTAAGGACATCATCCAAATGTCTCTTGAATGAACAGTGACAGACTTCGGGTATTGACCACCTCCCTAGGAAGCCTGTTTTAGTGTTTCACCACCCTCCCAGTAAATAAATGCTTCCTAATGTTCAATCTGAACATCCCCTGGCAGAGCTTTGAGCCATTGCCATGTGTTCTGTCACTGGATAGCAGGAAGAGATTAGCACCTCCCTCTCCACTTCCTCTTTTCAGGAAGCTGTGAAGAGCAATGAGGTCACCCCTGAGCCTCCTTTTCTCCAAACTAAACAAGCCTAAAGTCCTTAGCCACACCTCATAGGTAATTCCTTCCAACCCTTTCACCAGCTTTGTTGCCCTCCTCTGGAAACATTCAAGGACCTTCACATCTTAAATTGTGGGGCCCAGAACTGCACACAGTGTTTCAGGTGAGAGTGCACCAATACTGAACACAGCAGGATAATCACCTCTTTTGAGTGGCTCGTGACGCTGTGTTTGATGGACTCCAGGACAGGGTTTGCCCTCTTGGCTTCAGGACACACTGCCAACTCCTACCAAGCCTGCTGCTGACCAGCATCCCCAGATCCCTTTCTGCAGGGATGCTCTCCAGCCACTCCTCTCCCAGTTTATACTTGTGCCTGACATTAATCTGTCCCAGGTGCAGAATCTGGTATTTCAGCTTGTTAAACTTCATGCCATTAGTCACTGCTTGATGCTCCAATCTATCTAGATCCCTCTGCAAGGCCTCTTGTCCCTCAAGAGAGTCAGCAGCACCTCTCAGTTTGGTATCATCAGCAAACTTGGTAATGGTGCATTCAGCTCCTGCCTGCAGGTTGTTGATAAATGTGTTGAACAGAACTGGCCCTAAAATTGAGCCCTGAGGAACACCACTGGTGACCAGTCACCAGCCAGATGTAGCCCCATTCACTACAACCCTTTGAGCTCTGCCCTTCAGCCAGTTCTTCACCCAGCACACCGTGAACCCCCTCATCCCACATCTGGACAAGTTGTCCAGAAGGATGCTGGGAGGGACAGTATCAGAAGCCTTACTAAAATCCAGAAAAACTGCATCTGCCAACTTTCATTCATCCACTGGGTGGGTGACCTTTTAATAGAAGGATATCAAATTAGTTGAACAGGACTTTCGCTTTGTGAACCCCTGTTGACTCCAGTTAACTGCAGTGTAATTAACTCATGCACTCTCTATAGGAGGTCACTGTTTCTACTAATATAACTAAAGGAATAGAACAAAAATCCTTTATCAAAGTAATATTTTCTGTATCTGAAATCTAACAGTGATGACTGTTATTAAAAATAACTGTGTTATCATCCCCATTTGAGATTATGTGCTAATGTCATGGGCAAGAAAGTGGAGAACTGACACCACTGACAAAGGAGAGGCTGCAAATTCCTGGTTGTAAAGTGGAATCAGTAAGGGGCTTGACGTACTTGGTGATGCCAGTGCTTGTAGGTAGAGCAGCTGGCAAGATTACACATAATTTTTCACCCTAAAGTAATAAATCTGTGTGAATGTTGTGTGTGTGATTTAGTGTTGAAAGGGCCCAGCAGTTCATAATTTGTGAGTTTGAGCAGAAGAGCTGCAAAATTAATCTTTACAATAGCAACACCTGTTCTTTGACTCAGCTTTTAATAAATTAGATGCGGTTATTATTTATCACATTCTTTGATTACTTTGAGATAATAGCAGCCAGGTGTAAAACTAGTTTTTGGTAGTGGGAAAACTAACAATTCAAAAAGAAAAGCTTTTTGGGTCACCTTGAGTTCTTATAAATTAATACCTTCTGGTTAGTGTTCTACAAGAAAAAGAATGAAAAATGAGGGGGGAACAGTTTCAAATGTATTCAGATGTAAGAGTTTAGAGAGGCTATTTTCAAAGCAAGTGATAACTGAGCAGAACTGGGTCACTTTGGCATCTCAACATGTCCCGACAAACATCATTTGCAAAACAGATACAACAGTGCATATCTTGTCTTATGGAAATGAGATCTACGTTCTCAGTTCTTGTAAATCAGACTTTACATTTTAAATCCTCCAGGCTCTTTGACAGCATTTTAAATATTTATCGTTATCAGCAAGATCCAGTGATAACTGAAAGTCAATAATTTTTAAACCTGCATACCAGTTATAACAAAATTTGAAATCAAATAGGTACATATATAAAAGAGAATAAATTATTCCATCTTAAAAAGATTTGTTATGCTAAAGAAGGAAAGGAAAACATTTTCAAGAAGCATTATTGATTTTTTTAGCATACTCTCCCCTTTTCCTCTTTATGCACTTAATTAAGTTTGTGGTCATAAGTCAGAGAAAGAGATAAATGTATAATTATTTTCTCTGTTAATGTAAATTTTTTTATTGAAAGATAGGAACTAACACATGCTTTTAAGAGCTATTATAATTTGGTGACTAAATCTCTTCTCCTTGCTAAATGTGTTCTCCTTTGAAACTCTCTAAACACTTAGCAAAGAGAGGTGAAAATCACCAAGACAATATGATCCAAAATCAAGGACTTGTGGTTGTTTTTTAGAGTCACTAAAAATTTCTGTAGACAGAGCCTCACACGTGTTCTTCCTCAGCTGTTGTTCTGAAGACAGTTTCCCATTACTATCTGCAGTAATTTGCTTGTGTACTGATTCTCTTCAAAGAGGTTTCAAAGAATGCATACAGATTTTTCTTGGAAAAAGGAGGGATCAGGAGAAAATATTTATCACTTGCACAGTCCTTCAGTTTGATGAAAGTTCTTGGAGTTGGCAAAAATAATTTTCTTCTCTGTGGTATACTGATGCACAGAAACAGAAGAGCTGCATCTACAACCACCAGAGCATGTCTTAGCCAACTTTTATGAGAAGAAATTTGGCCTTTCTGGAGACTGTCAAGAGTCAACTTGTATTTCCCTTTAAAACAAGTCCTACAAATATTGCTGGTTGGAAATTTTTAAAGCATCACTAGCTTCCAAGAACCTTGAAAAGACAAAGACAGTCTTTTGGTGTAATTTGACCTACTGTCTGTAGTCTTGGCAAGGGTTTGCTGCCCAAAAGCATAAGTCTGCTTTCTTGGGTGCCTAACTCAAGAAGTTACCACACAGCAGATTTCCCCAGGTCCCACAGCCTTGGATGTAAAGTATCCCTCCCTCCAGTCAGTCCATTGAGCAGATGTACGTGATAGATGAATAACTCAGATTCTTGAAAAACTTGCCACTCAGTTAATCCATATTAAATATATATATAATCATAGAATGTTAAAGGTTGGAAGGGACCTTAAAAATTGCATGTGTATATAACATTCCTTTGTGCTAATCCACTTAAGGCATGTCATTTTCTGTGGTCAATGGCACACAAAGTCATGTGGCTA